AGTCTTTTCATGTGTTAACCAGCAGGACATACAGTTTGTCTTTAAAATGATGAATTCTTTAGGCACAAGAAGGTATATAAATGCAAACATTATTAAGATACTGTTCTTGATTCAGCTGGCTTTTGAAAGGATAACAATGACATACATTTTTGATCACATAATGTTATTAAACCTTTTAAATGTCCTAAAGACCACATGAACGTGCTGTAGTGAAAACTGGGTTGAAGCTGCAGTCATCTAGACAATATGACCTGGATTTGAGAATTAAAAGCAAAACATGTGGGTTTACCAGACTTTGTTTTTTTTTTTACAGATGTGATCAGATTTGAGATTCTTGCAAAACTGAAGCAGTAAGAAACAGCCAAGGTTCATCTGAATGTCAGTTGTCAGGGTGACAGAGGTGCAATTCCCTTCGCATGAAGGGTGGCCAGACCCAAACCTGAAAGTCTTTAACCAGTATTGGCTCTTTGTACAAAAGGGAACAGAAGTGACAGACCCTGGGGTGCAAGTCCATACTCTGCTCAACATGGCTGCAAGAAAAAGGGCTGTTCTTTTACATTCAGTGAAAGAGTAGATAGGGATAGAGTTAGAACTAGGGCTGGGGGTGGGGTGGATGTGTTTAGGTTTGGTTGGGTCCACATGCCATCCCCTCTAAGTCCTTAGTCGAATTTCCCATTATCTTGATATGCTTGGCTACAAGAATGACAAGCTCTTGACATAATGCTTAACTTTGTACTTTAAGTTCTTGTTCCATGTTCAAATAAAACACTGGTGGTGAGAATCTCAAGAAGCCTTTCTTAAAAGGTGACAGATGAGCTTCAATGTTAATAAGGTAATTCATCAGCTGCAAAATCTAAGCCTACATGATGGCAAACACAGAATTGGTAGTTGTAAATCAGGAAAGATATTTTCAAATTGTTGCTGAGATTCCTCTGACATCATTGGCATACTGTGCAGCAGTAGCAGCCAAAACAGATGCATTGATGCCAAAATGTTGGGTATCAATAGGAAGTGTATTAAAAACAAAATAAATGGGTTTATTGCCACTACAGAACCTTGGTGCAGGGCTGGTCTGTACTCGTCAAGATAGATGTAGAGAGTTTAAAGAAGATCTGTAGGGAAGTTAAAGGGCAACTAAAATTATCAGTGGTCTTGAGCACTGCCTGTTCGTGAGAGGCTGAAAAGGCTTGGGACTCACCTGTTCTAGAGAGAAGGCTGAGGGAGCTATTACAATGTTAAGTTTCAGAATCATGACTGCAGAGCTGCTTTTTACCACTTGTTCCTGCATTACTAGAATTAGGAAGCAATTCCTGAAACAAGTAGGAGATTAGCTTAAAACAAGTAAAGGAATTTCTGGAACTTACTGCCACGGGAAGTTGTGGAATTAGGCAGCAAATTAAAAAAAAATTGTCAGTCATGGACAACTGGTCAATAAATGGATGCTGAAACAGATAGGAAGAGATGCACTCATATCTGCTACAACATTTTCTGGACAAAACTGAGTGGGGATATGAAGGGAATGGATTGCAAAAATTGGTCATTCCCTTGCTGTCCCTTAAAAACAAAACAACATGAAAGCCCTATTTGTCACTGTTGGAGACACAATATTAGGCTGATGGACCATTGCCCTGAGCCAACTCTTATGTTCCCATCTTGAAAAAAAAAAATACTGTTTTTTTTATTGCAAGTGTAGACCCTCACTTGCTGGACTGTGAAGTTATATGAGAGTACAAAACTTTTCATTTGAAGAAGCCTCTATTTTAGAGCCTTAAGCTGGTATTAGCCACTGGTATCTAGTTGCATTGGAGTGCCTTCTGTCCAATTTGTTCCAAATGCTTTGAGAAGCCTTTCTGCTGCAACAGAAATTGCAGATAATCAGGATCCTTCAGAAATGCTCTTGAACAAATATTAGATTCAGGTGCCCCTGAAGTATCTTCAACTCTGAAACAACACAAAACTAAAAACAGCGCACAGCTATTTCCAACATATTCAGTTGGATGCTTCTATTTTCTTGAATGTTAGTTGCTTTCATCAACATGTTTAAAAAAAAAAAAGATGCAAATCAGATTCTGCCTTCAATTGAAAAACAATTTGAGTATTTTCAAGATTACAGTGACAGATTTCTAATTGTAAAATAAAAGTAACATTCTGTTGAAGACTAGGTTTTGTGATAAATTAATGTACTGACATTTAGTGTAAAGGCATTTGGGTTCAAATGGCAGCATTTACATTTTTACTAAATGCAGTAATTTTGGCAGGTACAAAGTATTTCAGTTTTTCAAACTCAAAATGGCTGCCATAAGAACAGTAATATGCATCCCACTGACCATGCTTTTCACACATCTCACTGAACTGTCATCTGTCTTTCAGTTGGAAGGGACCCTGGAAGGCCTCTAATCCAACTGCCTGCTCAAAACAGGATCAACACTGAATTCAAAGCAAGTTGCTTGGGGCTTTGTCAGTTGGGTGTTGAAACCCACTGAAGATGGAGAGTCCACAGCCTCTGAACAACCTGTTCTAATTCTTAACTAACCTTGTAGCAATTATTTCCATTCATATTCAAACACAACCCTGTGTTTTGTGTTATAATCAATGTCTCTTCTCCCACCATGCATTTCCATAAAGAACCAGTTCTCTGTTATCTTAAGGCATAAGCTCCTGCCCCTCAACTGTCTTGATGTCTCTCCACTGAATCTACTTGTGAATATCTTGTACTGAGGAAGGAGTGAGGTAGCAAGTGCCAAATAAGTCTAACAAGTGCCAGATAACAATCAGTTCCCATGATGTACTGGCTATGCCCTTGTCAATACAATTTTTTTCGCCAACAGCGTTTTCTACTGACTCTCACTGGGTGTTTGGAAAGGCTACTGCCTAAAACTGTGAAGCCATGATTTTGTCATGTTACCTGAATACATTCATGTAAAGGTACTGTGTTGAAGTCTTCAGGAAAACAGCTGAGGTCATTGACTTGCCTTTCTGAATGTTCAAAACAACTGACGTTGAGCGTCAGCTTTATAATCTCAGGTGAAGCAATGGTTTAACTGTGCAGACCTAAAAGCATATAGTTTCTTACTCTAATATGGAATTTGTACACTTGTAGGGTGGAGCATTTTTCTGTAGTGAGGGTTTCATTTTGTTTTTCTGTTTTATTTTCTTAGTGACTAAAATTGATAGCTGTTTTGGAAACTTCATGTGGCAGCTGATCTGATCAAATTGCAGGACATTTTTAGGGGTAATATTTCCAAATAACACAAGAATCTCTGTATCAGGCTTTCTGTATCTAGGTATATAAGCTAGTAAAAATTATTTATTCCAGATACATGTTACTGTCCAGTATCTGATATTTGCCATAAGCTGTTTTTGCTTACATCATTAATTATGCTGTGCAAGTGTGGTACTTCTTGTTTTGTTTGCCTTTACACAAGCAAGTTCTTCATTAAACAGCTGCAGCCCATGTGTTTGTGAAGAAAATGCAAAAAACCTAACATTAGTATGTGTAGTTACAACCAAGGTTTAGATCTACAGCATGTCCCCATATTTCTAATGGGGACATTTTTATATACATTAAAAGCTGAAGCTTTTACATGTTGTTAACATCCGATTTGATGGCTTCTAGCATGATTATGACTCTTGAGGTCTTTTTTCAACTCCTTTTTTTATTCTCATATTTTGCACAAGCCCATGGTAGGTACAGAGATTCCTTATACCACACAAATGGACAGGTAGAGTCTTCTATTGGTGTCAATAGCAAGGACCTACATGCACTTTTTATTTATCAAAGTAAATATTGCTTCAGATTTCAGAAATCTCAAATAGATCTGTGTATAGATCTTCAGGCTTTCTCTTCTTTTGATTTTCCAGGTTTCTGTTACTGTGAAAAGTTGCTTACAAAATAACACATGGTACATCTTCCTTTTTAAGCTTCCAGAGTGACATTAGGAAGTTTCTGTAATGCATTTTTAATGTTTTTCCACATCCTTAGGATTTTTTTTTTCTTAATACTCTTAGACTGTCAAACTGACCCTGAGGTAGTTGCTACTAAAAGCTAGCAAAAGTGAAATTCTAAAAAAAAATAAACAGAAACAAGACAAAAAAAACCCTCAGGAATGTCTTCCATGAGTTGCAGTTATTTTCACTACATTAACAGGGGACTTGCCAGACTTCAGAGACTTACTTTTTAATAGATTGAATGCATGGTTGTAATTTTGAATTAAAATGTTATCATATCTGTCCATGGTCTGACAATAATTTTTGTCTTGTTTGATGTTCTCTTAAAGTTGAAACTGCAGTCTATTTATGCCATACAAAGATAAGTTTCTCTCATACTTCTTGATCTGAAATCTCATTGGGACTGAACTAGGTAGTGAAAAGACACTCATCTTGCAGTGTAGACAGAACTAAGCATATTATTTGTTTTTTGGGTTTTTTGTTTGTTTGTTTGCTTGGGTTTTTTTCTGTGGCTATGTGAAACTGGCAATATTCACTTGGGACCCTGCTCTTTGATATTGGGGAAGAGCTTTTCTTAAGTGCGAAGTTAAGTGATAAGAGAAAGAATGGAGCTGTAAAATAAGATGTGAAGGCCAAAAGTGCTGTCAAAACAACTAGGCCACTCTAGAAAACTAACTATAAACCATTCTCATGGGGATATTAAAGATGCAGTAAATAGCCTGGAGGAATCTGTCATTAGTGATTCTAGGTACGTTGATTATTAAGCCTTAAAACTGAAATACTCTGGGGGTGGAAGGAGAACTTCGGAAAACTCCAAGTACTATTTAAGATGTTCTTTCAAGGTCTCTGCTTCAACAGACAGAAGTGAGAAGTCACTTTGTTCTGATTCCAGATGAGTTTCAAAGTGTTCATCAAATGTGCTGCTTCTAGATCTAGCATTTAATTTAATCCAGTAAGAGTTCAATGAGACATTTATTGGAAATGTGGGATTTTTTTTTTACTGATGGACTCCTCAGCTCTGATTAACTGTTAACTTTTGCTTTTTCTAACAGATCAAATGTCTAAAAGGCCAGAGAGACTTCTCAGACCAACCCACTTTTGATGGGATTCACATTGTCAACCATTTCACAGGAGATGATGAATCATTTCATTCTTCTGACGAAGATTTTATAACTAACTCCATACAGGAGAGTGGGGTGAACTTTCATCTACATAGGAGGACTGGTCAGATGGCTTTGGATCACACAGTTGTAGACAGCAGTGACAGTGATACTGAAGAAAGTGCCCTTCAGACTGGGAATTCAGACAAGATGGTTTCCAAGCAGAGAAGAATGGAATCTTACTCAACTACTGTGTGATTATCACTGTGACTAGCATTGAAGCCTTTCGCATTTCTTTAAGGGTGAAATTGTCAGATAACTGAAACTATCCAGCAGTTGGTTTAGGTAGCTATTGGATCTGGTCTGACCTGTGGTAAATATATACCTGTACTGTCTATCTGTCTTCTCTCTTTGCCAAATCTTGCTAATGACATACTATTGCCATAAAACAGGCTGGGAAGAAGTTGATGGATGACAGTTCTGACAGTATTACTGAATGTTCCCTGGTTTAGAAACGGCAAATATATCATTTCTTTAATGCATAAGAACCATTTTTGCTGTTCATAAACAGGGGAATTATTTTCCTCAAAATAAATTGCTCTTGTGCAATATTTTATGCTCTGAACAAATGTGTATGTTTTACATTGTTATCCATTTGTGGTCAAGATGGACCCTAGTAAACCATCTGATCATGACACAAATATATATAATTATCTTATGCTTCTCTATTACTTTTGTTTTTACTAAAGTTATTGGATGCCCACAGAAGGCTTGAAAGAGGAGCCTTTATCTGTACTACTTCATGTATGCAAATAATGGTCACTAATGTCAAAGGTGTTTTTCACCATTTTCACTTAAATCTATGTGCATCTGCTTTTGATGTTGCTAAGTAATACCTGGTCTAAATATATTAATTACAATAATGTTTATTTTGTATATATTTATGTATCTACACCAAGCTGAAAATGTACATTACACCATTTTATATGAGGAATGTAAATGTTGCGGTATTACCGTCTCTGGTACTCTTAACAGGAAAATGAATTCTGTATATACACACTAGAAATGAATTACTAAATAAAGGCAAAACACTAACTTTAAGTTTCAGCCTAGTTACACTAACAGGTTCATGTCGGAAATGCTTGTTCAAAACACTATTGACTGAAATCTTTTACCTTCATATATATGTAATGAAAATAAATTTTTCATGATTTAACAAGGTTGCAGCATTTACTCTTTAGTCACTTCTAAGGTACAGCCCTTGGTTAATGCATAGTTACTTGCTGGCTCTAAATTAGAGTGGTAGTTCAAATAAGGTGAAAAATTATTCATGTCTTACAGTTAGTTTAATGAAGACATGGTCAGCGCAGTAAAAAATGTGTAAGTTTGGTCTTCTTACAGTGTTATATGGCAGAGCTATCTAAGAAATAAGCTGTTGGTTCTGTCACCAAATAGCTGTGATTCACCAAAGCAGTAAGAGCTGACCTGAGCATTCTGCTTTCATACTGTCCTGAAAATTAAGATCCAGTAAAATGGCCTTAGGTTCTTGAACAGAATAAGATATTCTACTGTTGTCATATGAACACTCACTTGCCCTTTCAGACACATTGTTGTCAAGAATATTCTTAATGGCAGCTGTTATTGCCATCTTAATTAAACAATCCTTAAGACTTATTTTTCTAGCAATGTTTAGAACTGTTCTATTAATTAAAAAAAAATAAGCCATGCACAAGTTGGTACTGATAGTCAGCACGTAAACAGTCGTGCTACCCACAAGAAGCGGTGTAGTTGTTTAAAATTGCTGAAGTGTGGAAGCTTACTGCTGAATGCAGCTGCTAGTCCTGTTAGGCATTTCCTTTACTTTTATTTTGAATGTGTCCTCAGACAGCACAACTGAGGAGGTAACATGTTCGAGGAATGGTAGGGAAGGCTGCATAGAAGCAACACATTCTGGGCCTCTCAGCAGTATTACCTGGGTGGGTGCGATCTAATTTAAATCTTAAAGCAGGTGGGTGACAGATTCCAGGTTACCAATTTCAGTACTTCCTTCAGTATTCCTGCAAAATTTCCCCGCATCCTACCAGTGAACATATTCCCAGTATAGCCTGTGGAGATTGCCATCTCTGGGGCAGATTAGCTGACTGATTCTGATCCCTGTTGAAAATCTCATGTATGCAAAAACAAATCAGGAGCGCTTTTGTTCACCAACAAGTAACAGTTGCCTTTTTTTCCTTCCAGTGAGCACCTGGTAACTTATGTTTGCACCTGCATAATTGTTGCCTAAGAGGATAGGTGACAAATGTCTTGTTGCCTGTCATCAGTACCAGCTGCAAGTTTCTCTTAAAGGTAATGTTCTGTAATAAGTGGCAGGAGCAAAATTCAGTTGGAGAGCCATAAAAATCTTGTCTGTTTGAACAGTGAAGTGTTATGATTTTGCAATAACTGCTTTACTGTTCAAGTGATAGCAAATGAGATTAGTTGGCAAGGGTTATTTCCTGAGCTTTTGTGGTTTTGAAGTATACTAATAGAATAAATACTGATACTGAATAACAGCATAAATAAAAATATCAAGGGAAAAGCAAAAAGTTCTTACCCAAAGAACTGCATCTCTTCTAGTGGTGAAGGTGAATCACCGGACATGCTGCAGTTTCAGAAGACTTAGTTACACACAGAATATCCTAGGAAGACAACCCAAGAGAGGCTGTTCAGAATCATACTGCTTTTTCTGCAACTATTCTGCCAAAAAATGACATTAACCTCTACCTTTGTGTATTATAATTTGAATATGCACCAGAATAATGTCAAATCATCAACAGCACAGATTACTATTATTTACTAACACATAAATAAAGCATACTAATTATGCTGCACACCATGCCCTTGCTTCCATGATCTTCTGACAGTCATTGCCATTCTCTTAGACTTGCTCTTACATGCAGGCTGTAAGAGCTCAATATGAATCCTAAAAGCATAAAGAAAAAAAAAAAAGGATGTAAACATGAAAACTTATGATTCTTGAATATGCAAGGACTGCAGATGAGAAGACAGGTGAAACAGGGAAGGGGGATATCCTGCTATATACGGAGTTTCCATGGAAATTGCATTTTATGTTTGGTAGTGAAAATGGTTCTGCTTTCCCAATCTGATAATCAAATATCTTCACTAGCTAGAGAAGCCTCAATATTTTAATTTTCTTATTTCTCCAGGCTAAGGGAGGGAATATTTTAGGTCCTAATAGCATTTATGATTAGACCTTTTTACTTAAATAATTTCATTTCACATATTAAAAGTTAGTAACATTTGTGAAAAATTGTGAACACAACTAGTTGGGAGAAAGTACATCTGTGAAGTTAAGCAGCATGTATTACATTCACAGCTCAACAACTATCTGTTCATGTTGGTCATGTATTTTGACAAAATGCAGGCCTCATCTGCATATACCTTCACGGGGTGGTATTTTCCACTAAATACAATTTTCAACTGTATGCACAATTTTCTATATTATTTTAATGACTAGAAATTGCTATGAAAGTGATTAAAATAAGTATCCACGTAGGGGTTTGCATAAATTTAACAAAACTAGCTACTGACTCGATGTGTATTGAGAGACAAGAGGAAAGCTATGTATCAGGTAACGAACTTCTGGATTTATCTGTGAAATACTTTTGTCGGTATATTACACCAATATATTTTTTGTAATTCTCTGAGGGTTTTCTTTGTTTTTTACAAACTAGCTCAAGGCATAAGAAAAATCAGATAAATACATTTATACAGTAGCCCGTAGAACCAGAGATTCTGAATGATAAAAGGAAAAGAACATGGTAAATTGATTTTCAACATAACCTCTATATAGCATGAAGTTTCATATTCAGAGTGGAGAAAACGTGGTAACATGTGCATGCCTACACAGACATGGACACTGATCCAAGATGCAATAGTTTAACATGCTCTCTTCCAGGAATTAATACCTCATTTCACAATTATGAAAAACAAAAGCAATATGGCATACTCTTACAATTGTATACTGTTGCATAAGTGACTGAAATTTCTAGAGTCCCACTGTGAGAACTAGAATTCCTGAGACCATTTTGCACAGTCTACATTCTGTAGATTGATTCAGCTTTCTTCTGTTCATAATGGAAACAAGTTCTCAGTCCACTCCTTCCCAAAGCTGGAATCCCTCTTTTCATCCCAGCCTTCAACACCACCGCCCACTGTCACTTTCCCTCTTGAGTTCATGCTCACAGTGATCATTACTTTTCTAATCTGCCCTGAGAGAACCTGAAGTTACTTTGGTTTCCCCAGAGATCAAAAAAAATGCTATCAAAATAACTGATTAACATCTCACATATTTACAGCACGGTTATTCCACCAGGAGGAACATAAAGAACGTAGTGACAACATGCTGGGGAAAAAAAAAATAAGCAGGATATGGTAAAAATAATTAAATAATTACAAAAAAAGTTATAAACCAAAGACACACTTCCCAGCAGAACACACAGCGCTACAAGTTCTAGCACCTTCTCATAGTGAAAGTGTTTTGGATAACTGTGATTTCAGGTTTTATCACTTTAAAGTGTGTGTTACTCGTGAGTTCCCAACAGAATTGCCCTCTTTGCTGCCTTCTCCCAATCCTGACTTCCACACGCAATAAATTGCTTCTCCTCCCCTACGTACCAAGCAGCTAACTTGTCAAATTCTGTTCTTCAAATCCTTCCTCCTGTTACAAAGTTTCCCATCACTTCTGAACATGAAGATCTCATCTGCACCCCGTCACCTTTGGTGCCTTATCTGATGTCTTCTTAGCTCTAATGGTGACATCAGGCAGCTCCTGTGAACAGCGCAGTAAATTACACTGAGCAGCTCTTCAGTCTTAAACACAACTATAACATAATCCCACTCTATTTGAAACCCCTCCTTTTGTTTATTTCTTCCCCTCTTTTGTCACTATGTCGTAATGAGCATGTATTTACCATTGCATTCAACTGTATTTTATCAAGTATTTATGTTTAACTTTGGATATCACTCTCCCTTTGGGGGCTACATTAGAGCGGCTCTGGTATAATCCATCCCCAGACCCCATCACCTGCACTTCGCCTGGACTACATCCCTCCGCCAACTCAGGACCGTTGGCTTTTGGCTTTTTCACACTGGCATTGTCACACAGCTCTTGCGGTGTCACATGATGACCACTGCACACACAAGACCATCTTAAAGGTTATTGAACTGCGGCACATCGGCCACACCATAAACCAAGA